GCCCCACCCCTGCAGCCGCTCGGCTGCGCCCCGAGTCCCGCGGCAGCCCCTGGGCCGTCCGGCCGCCGCCCGCCGCCCGCCCAACGCTCCGCACCACAACAGTTCGCTCCCCCCGCCCTCCGCGGGACAGCGGAAGTCCCGCCTCCGCGCGCCCATTGGTAGCGCTTGTTCTCTGGGCGGGGCCGCCGCCGCCGCTGGCGCGCCCCATTGGGCGCGACAGCTGCCAGTCCCCGGCGCCTGGCTACTTCCTGGACTCTGCTGGGATGGGTTCAAAGTAGAGAAAGTGGAACAGGGAAGAGTTCCGTGGGTGAGGGAGGGGAAGGGGCCGCAGACTCTCCCGGCCCAAGGAGGGGCGGTGAGCAGGGGCCTGAGTGGACAGAGGGGCAGACTCCGGGAACAGAGGACCACATTCAGGGGCGGACAGAAGTACAGACGTGGGCGGGGGCGCAGAGGAACAGACGTGGGGAGGAGCATATGAGGGGGAACCTAAAGGGAATAGAGGTACTGTCATGAGAGGGACAGACTGGGTAAAACGGGAGGGCCAGGGCCAGAGGACCCGCAGACTGGTGGGGGAGGTAGGGTGGGTGATACAGGACAGAAAGCCAGTCATGGTGGGAAAGACAGAGGGACAATTCCGTACTGATACGAGGAAAGACGTGCAGGGGAGATGATGGGGGTCTCATGGCCGGTCTTGCAAGGTAGGAGGATGCTTGAGGGTGGCGGAGACCCCAGACTGTGGGGACTGGGGATGGTTTGGTCCGCGCGGAAAAAGAAGGGGAGGGGAAGGAGACCCTCCAGGGGCTTGGGTGACCCCTCCGCCGGGAGGAATCGAAAGTCACGATAAGGTCTGGAGGGTGGACTAGGGGAACCGCGGAGAAGAGGGAGGCTGCGGAGGAAATGGAGAAAAGGCTGGGGATGGAGGACCCAGGGTCAATCTTGGCATGAGGAAGGGCTTGCTGAGTCTTGGGCCCTCCCTGGAGATCTGTAAACTGTAGCTTCCATTGCTTTAAGCCTCCGGTACTACTCGCTAGGTGACCGCGCCCTGCCAAGCCCCATAGCTCGGGGTTCGGCGTCCAGGGCGTGACACATATCCAGAAAGACCATAGGGAAATACTCTAGTGTAGCACCCCTAGTCAGGCCACCTCTCCCCTGGGCAGCTTGGGGACAAATGAGGGCTAAAGATCCGAAGGGACTAGCCCAGTGTCATGCCGTGATGTAATCATTTAGGGCTGGGTAGCATTTTCTAGGGGAGAGCGGCGTGGAGGGGATGGGGAGTGTTAGGTGAGCACGTGTACCTATCTTGGTAGTACTAGGTGGCATTGAAGAGGCTTCTGGTTTGTGTCCTGTGGAAAAAGGGAAAGCCACCAGTTTCTATGTTTACAAGCAGATGCCCTGTGATCTTAAATTTTCCTCAGTGGCCTTAAATGTATTTGTACCCTCTAGCCTAGTAATTTCACAGGTGGGACAGCCATTTTAGGATATTGACCTAGCAGAGTCAATTTTAAACACAACAATGTTCATTATGGGATTATTTATAATGGGAAAAATAAAAAAAGAACCTAAAATTTTTACAAGGGAAGTGGTTAAGTAAACTACTTGACATCTTCAGAATGAGATATTTTGTAGTCACTTATGATGTTTTCAACATTTAAGGTAGTTTCAACATCAATTTTCTATAAATTTCTGTATACAATAATTCAGCATTGACTCTTCAACAAGGAGTTGATGATGAGCTAGAGAAATGCTTTATTTATGTTAAGTTAAAAATGCAGGCTATAAAGTTGCATGTGGGATATGATGTGTGTACATCTATGTTTAAAAAAAAAACTTTGTGCATAAGAAATACACTAAAGTGTTAATAGCAATTATTTCTGGGTGGTGGAAATATTGTTGATATTTTTCTCCTTTTCTATCTTTGCATTTCCCCCCAATAAACATTTATTGCTTTTACAGTAGGAAAAAATAGAGTAAAAAATTAATGGAAAAAAGGCACAGTTTAATAGGATTCCTCCTTCAGAGTTCATATATTCAAAGTAAATTATTGAGCATATTGCATACACTCATTTCAGGGTTGGCTACAAGAGGAGGATGAAACAGAACTCAGCCCTAAAAGAGAATATCTTCTTCAGGGCCGGCCCGGTGGCTTAGCGGTTAAGTGCTCACGCTCCACTACTAGCGGCCGGGGTTCGGAACCCCGGGTGCGCACAGATGCACCGCTTCTCCAGCCATGCTGAGGCCGCGTCCCACATACAGCAGCTAGAAGGATGTGCAACTATGACATACAACTATCTACTGAGGCTTTGGGCGGGGGGGGAAGGAGCAGGATTGGCAATAGATGTTAGCTCAGAGCTGGTCTTCCTCAGCAAAAAGAGGAGGATTAGCATGGATGTTAGCTCAGGGCTGATATTCCTCACAAAAAAAAAAAAGAGAATATCTTCTAACAGGAGAGCTCAGACATATACAAAGAAAACAGCTGGGTATCTGTACAAGGCAGTGTATAATGTTGGTTCCAAAGCTGATTGGTATGGATAAGACTTCTGTATTTGCCACATATATTTTGCACTTAGATACTTTTTCAAAACAGTGTTTGCATCCAGCACCAGGCTACTACAGTACACACAGCTTCTTTAGCACCAGCTTCCCCAGGCACCACTCTTCTGGTAGGGGAGGTGGTGGGGGCCTTTTCCTTGGGTGCTCTATCTCAGCCCTAGGGGGACTGGCTGCTCCTTCTATCTGCTATGCCTGTATTCTTTGGAGTTCTCTGCTTCTTAGTAGGCAATACCTCGTTACTACAGTACCCTATTATAATTAATAAATCTTTCCCTATTCAAATTAGTGTGTGGTTTCTCTTTCCTAATTGGACCCAGATTGATACCCCCAACCTCTATGTATTTTTTTTTTGGTTGGGGGTCATGCTTTTAACTATCTTTTATGCACAATTTTATAGTCTTTTTTCAAGGAATGCTTTATCATAAGCTTTCCCCATGTTATTATGTAGATTGGCTCTAAATAGCAATATCTGGAAAAAATTCTGATCCCTTTGCTGGGGGAGTAAATCTGTAACTCCAGAGAGGAAATATAAATAAATATTCAAATAATGAAGAAATAAATGAATACAGGAGAGAAGCTTCTGTGATCCTTGTTCTGCTCTGTGTAGGATTTAAGATTCTTGAAATGGCCAAGAGAATCTGATTTGCTACATTTATAAGTTTAGATAATTAATTTACAACAATTGTTTAAGTGCTTAGAAAGATCTTGCGTTTTAGATTTATAAGTCTGCCTTGTTGGGCATTTAAAGTGTTTGAAAAAAAATCAGGCATATTAAATTTGTAACTGTAGTCTGAACTGTCTAAGGAAATTTGATTAATTAAGGCTGTAAGTCTGTTAAATCTTTAAGGAGGATTGAATCTATTGAACTTAAGAATTAATTCAAGGGCCGGCCCCGTGGCTTGGTGGTTGAGTGCGCGCGCTCCACTGCTGGCGACCCGGGTTCGGATCCCGGGCTCGCACCGACGCGCTGCTTCTCCGGCCATGCTGAGGCCGCGTCCCACATGCAGCAACTAGAAGGATGTGCAGCTATGACACACAACTATCTACTGGGGCTTTGGGGGGAAAAAATAAATAAATCTTTAAAAAAAAAAAAAGAATTAATTCAACAGTAATCAAAGAACAAGTGAAAGTGATTGTCCCTATCTTTATATGAAAAATTACTAGATTTATAATGGAATAAGATTTGTAAGTTGAACTTAAAGCCTTTAAGAAAAGCTAGATTTTAAAATGGGCAGCTTGAATCAGTAACTATAACATTCTTTTCCATACCCAAACCTACCCCCAGATATTTAAAATTATAGGTCGATAACCCCCCAACTTTATAGTTCTGGCTGAGACCTCTCCTCTGAGCTCCAGATAGCATCATTCAGCTCTTTGCTTGGAATGCTCCAGAGGCATCACAGACCAACATGTTCAAGTTATAACCTTCTCTGACACCCAAATCCATAAACTGCAACCTGTCCCACCCTTAAGTCTCCCTTCCTCTCCCCTCACTCCAAGTCAACCCATAGTGGAGGCACTTTTGTCTACTTCTGATACATATTTACTCTCTCTCCCCTTTGCTTCATTTCCTATGGCAGGCAGCCCAGCCCAGGCCGCCACCATCTTTTGCCTGAAAGATGAGATGCCTTTTCTTCTGAACTGGTCCCTAAGCCACTCTTCCATAGGTGACATCTACACAAACCAGACCATGCCATACCCTCTTCAGAGCCTCTCACCAGCTTCCCAGTGCCTTCTGACAGTGCCCCTGTGGTCTCTTCGCCCTGTCCCCCATGCCTCCGCTCTGTTTGTTATTCTTCCTTAAGTTCCTCAAATAAGCCAAGCTCCTTCCTACCTTGAGGTCTTTGCATTTACAGTTCCCTCTGCCTACAAGGCTGTTCCGCCTGCTCCTCCCATGCTGGCTCCATCCTTCAAGTCTTAATTTAAATGTCACCTCCCCAGAGAGTCTTCCCTGATTAAAAGGAGTTGGTCTCCTGCACTCCTGCTCATCACTATTCTCTATTCAGTGTCTTCTTATTAGCATTCATGACAATATGCAGTTATTCTATTTTATTATTATTTTTGCTGTGTGACTGTCTCTCTCATTACAATATAAGCTCCATGAAGGCAGGGACCATGTCTATCCTCTTTGTTCGTGTCACTCCAGTGCATGCAACACTGATTCTCCAATCCTGGTGGCTAACAGAGTAGGGACTCAGTAAACATTTTTTTCAATAAACTAGTTTAACCATACCCAACTATACCAAGATATTTATTAAGTAAAAAAAAAAAAAAAGACACAAAGCAGTATGCAGAGTGTAAATTCCATTGTATTTCTTAAAAATTTTATACACACATACAGACACACACATTAAGGATACACAAGAAACTAGTAGATGTGGTTGCCTCTGTGGTGGGGACTGCAGGTCAGGGGAGGAAAGGCAGGAAGAATTTGAATTTTATAATCCTTTTTCCTGTTTGGATATTTTACTATATCCCTATATTTCTTTTATAATAATAATAAGAAAAATACCATCTTTTGGTACTGTAATTAAGTAGGAAATATGGAATACCAGAAAAGTAGGAGAATCTCAGAATAAAAGACAGTCATTTAAATGGAATAAATTTAGCTTCATGAAAAACCCACAACATTGTCCTTATTTCCTTCATTCCACTGAG